CTGTTGGAAAGTGTCAATTCTTTTTTTCAGATGCCCTTCCTTGTTGCTGACTTCAAGTCTTACTAGTACAAATGTTGTGGCCTTCATACAAGAGTAAACTATTCAGCCATGCATCTCAGCCACGAGATGTCAAAAAGGCTTCTTCTTGTGGGATCTTGCTGTGTCCATTGTACAGAATGTGTGCCTTGTGAGAGACTGAAAAATGTTCACCTAGTCTCCTCCTGTTATGAGACAACTACTACTTCTTGTTGTTATCCTTTCTCAAATGTGGATCTTGTGGGAGTGACTGTCCTAAAAGTGATGTAAAGTGTGTGCTAGTAGAAGAAAAGTGAGTYGATGCTCTTATCGAGGATCGACGAACTATGAAATCYAGAATGGATCACTGTGAGGATCGAGTGATGTGTGAATCGAATGAGTCGAGTCACTCACGCAAGTGAATGAAATGAGTCATGTTGATCATATGAATCCAGTGGGATCGCATGAGTCATATGTATGGTGTGTATGAATCGTATATACGTATTGTATGTATTTGTTGTATGTATGAATCATACCCACGGTCTGATATCCTACAGACAGCAGATCTAATTGACACAGGAGATTTGGATGCTGTTCTATAGTGGTGATGACATTCAAGTAGAACATGTCTCAATTGATGGTCAAAGAAGGGAGGATGGTTCCATACTYTCTGTTAGTAGGTTGATAGTTTGTTAGTTGCTGAGTCAGCAAGAAGAAGCATGTTACTATATGAGCACAAGTCAGAYGGTTGTGTAGGTGTATGAGATAGAACTTGTGGCAGTGTGCGATATGAGATTGATCACAGTAGGAGAGATCATATCTATTATATTGTTATGCTGATGAGACAAAAAAAATTTTGTCAAGAATTTTTCAGATTTTGTCATTTGTAACCTGCTCAACAAGAAGAGTTGCAAAGAAGGCCACAGCCATGACCTATTAGAGGGAGAAGAAATATGCTCATAGTTGTTGCAAGAGGAAGCACTCCTACCATATCTGGAGTAACAACTCCATTGGTTGTTTTGTATCAGGTAAGGGATGGACATATTGGGTGATTGGATTCATTTTTGCAGTGGGAGTTGTGACAGCTCTGCAATTGCTCTCATGGATAGTTTTCTCATAAACTCTGATGTAGTTTGATAGGGAATAGTTGGTGACAGATTTTGCTGCATTTGTTGGTTGATTGATGCAAAATATCCAAAAGGTTTCCCATTTTGCCCCAACCTTGCAGGCCTTGATTGAATCTTTGTGCATGAGGGGAAGTACTGATGTATTCAACTCCTACTTGTGCCCTTCAAACTCTCAAAACATCCCACCATGTGTAGAGCAACCATTGAAAAARAATCTTAATAAAATTTTTAACCTCGTGAACTAGAAGAGGCGCTACATGGCCAGAACCATAGCTTTTTGTTGGAAAGTATGCTTCTAGCTGCTCCGAGCGGCAGCACTTCCCTCAGAGGATTTTTGATGGAGGTGCAACCAGGGTTTTGTTTGGGCTGGGGGATTATTGGAAATATTTGTYCATAGTAGTTTGCATAGTACGGTTGGTTGCGACAGAGACCAAAGAAGTCTTTGGTGATGCGGASGGTTTGTGTCATTTCTTCTTGGAGTAGGCGTCAAAGACCAGCCCATCTTGTGTGACGCTCTCTGGTGGTTGTTTACTATGAGGAAAATGTTGAAAGTACTGAGTAATAGGGCAAGTGTTGGAGGCCAAAGCACTTGCGGCTTGAGCAACGCTTGCCAGAATCGTTTTCTCATAGACGTGATGGTAATATGTAAGCATGGAGGTAGGTGTAGTTGATAAGAAGGCCTCCATGTCATCTGGAAGTAGGTGAGCGTGGGACAGACAAGTCTGTGATTTCAGTTCAAATAAATTTTGAACTTTTGTCACCACCCGTTGCCGATGCTTTGCTTGCTTCTCGGAAAGCGGCGTGTAGCCATGGAGATCTTTATTTTGCTATTCCCATAATGATATATAGGAGGTAAGAAAGAATTCCACAAGATAACCCCCCAACACTAGTGGGGAGTAAGAGCTGGAATGAAGATCAAGACCAGTAAACCACTGGAGTGAAATGTGACCGGCAAAAATGTGGCGCCAACCAATCTCACTCTGGAAATGGATAACTGGATGGAGGGATGTAGGATATTTCTCTGGAGAAACTATGCCAGTGTCTAGCCATTTGGTGAGACATGTAGCAAGTGTGTCAATGGCAATTGGTTGGAAGCCGAGTGTGGACATGCGTTGTTGTAAAGAGGTGATAGTCTGTYTCCGCCATCCGATGCGTGATGGGTGAGAACATWGAAAGAGATGCTCAGAATCTTCAGGCGACTGGCAAAGACAACAAGTATCATGTTGTTGGTAGTTCCACCTTTTGAGAACAGTGGCAGTGGGTAGGATGTGGTTGCAACATTTAGTGACCAAGACGTCCCTGGAGATGCGGTGGATGGCAATGCTCAGAGACTTCCAGGCAATATCAGCGAGAACTCATAGGGGCCACTGGTTCCTATCTCTCAAATAAGTGTGATATTGGGGGATCAAACAAGAATCTGTGAGCGCTCTCTTATATTGGCTGGTGACAGAGCGAGACTGAATCTGGAGAACTGCTGGACAMGAAGGTAACACTGGTGTAATGAAATTTGGCGTAGTCATCTGAGCTTGAAAATCTCCAGTGTAGCCATCAGCTTTGACATTCAGTTGAGCTATCAGAGGAAGGCGATCAAAGGCAATGGTGTTGTCCTGATRGCCTTTCACCCAGGAAAAGGAGTATCTAATGAAAGGAATCTGAAGGGTTTGAAAAATCTGTTCAATCAAGTCAAATTCTGGTGCTAGAGTAGCATTGGCATAAACTTCTGTGTATTCACATCTGGATTGGAGTCGAATGATGAGTGACTTGCTGTCGCTGATAAAAGTAACCTGTGTAGGGCAGATAGGAGAGGCCTCAGAAGAGGATGATGAGCTGGATGAACTTGCATCATCTTTGCTGTTCTTGTGGGCTGGGCAGTGTAGATGCAAAACTACCAGGGTAATAAAGAGACTTGCTGATAATAAGCCCGTAGCCTCRGCTCGAAGAGAACTTTCAATGCCAAAGCATGGGCCATTTGCACAAGAAATTCTATCCCCAGCTGTAGTGGCTAGAGACCAGCCAAAGGATATACAACTGTCTTTGCCAGATCCATTGGAGACCATGAGTAGAGGGGTCCCAGAAGTAAATGTATCCATCGTCGGTGAGAAGTCAGTTTCAAACTGGACAGATCTCAGGAGCTGGTGTTGCCATGGATCTAGGCAGTGTAAAAGGCCCAGCCATGTGCGGGGAACTTCACCGGGGGATTTTCTGACAGTGAGAAAAGGGCAGACACTGGTTGGATCATATTGACAACCATCAGGTTTGGTTGTCCAGGTGATCACRGGGACGTTGTTGCCAGGAGGGAGTTTGCCAGGGACACGTGGTGACCATGGCGGTCCGATGTGGGTTAGAACCACAGGATGGGACTCCCAGTTTCCCAGACTTGGTGAAGTCCATAAGTGATGATCAGTGGACAGATGGGCATCCCATACACCATGATAAGCATGGTGATGAGGGAGCCAGTTACCAAGCCAATAAGTAGTGGTCAAAATCCTGTTTGAGGCAGGGCTGTTGGAGATACTGCAAAGAAATTTATCAAAGGTCTTCCAGCTTTTCCTATCTGGCTTGGGCTGATATGGATATGTAATGGAAGGATGGTAAAGTTCCAGGCACTGGTGGGAGAAAATGCTGGGAGACAGCTTACTTGTGCCAGGAAGACACAGTTTGCTGAGCCATTGAACCTTGAGGTACAAGCAAACTGAATTGATCTGGTGGAGTGAACAGATATGGCCTTTAGGAGTCTTGAGGACATTTGTAGGGAATCTGGTAAGGGCAAGGTCCATAATGGTATAGTCACCATGTCGGAGCGGTGGTACCAAGCCGGTGTCATCAACGGTAATGGTGACCTTTATAGTGGTCAGATACTGCGGAACACCATGGAGAAAGTTGCCGGGAATATATGGAAGAGCAATTGAGGGACATTCAAGAACTGGTTTGGAGAGACCGGAAAATAGTTGGAACCACCACAGGACAGTCCGGAGGAGCTTTCCTGCAATGTCTTGGGATCTCCAGTGCTTCAAGAAATGGATGATGTAACTGCGGCCAGCAATGACCTCCAGTGGTATGAACCCTGCTCCTCCTACTGACTGGTGCGTAGAGAACTGCTCCGGCAGTAGTGCTTGCATAGCCACAAAGTGAGAAAATGCATGGAAAGTATTTCCATTCCAACATTAGCAGTTGAGCAGAAGACAAAAAGGACTGAGGCAGAGGATATTCAATGGCAGGATGCAACACTGTTTCATAAAGCATTCATGCTGTGGGTTGATTGGGTGAGCATTGCTGTATGGCAGAACAAATTGAATCTGCTTTGGAAAGTAATGTGGTCAACTGAGCTGTGTATGATCCACATGGTGACTTGTGGTGGCCCAGATTTTTGCGTGGAGTGAAAATGTTCTTTGAAGCAATTCAGACTGGCTCCCCAGTAGGATCAGTGAGGAAGATATCACCAGTAGTGTGAAGCACGCAAGGAAGCATATCCAATGGGGACTCAGAGAGGTAGTATTGGAAGTCATAGTACAGGAGGTGAAAACCACATTTTGGAAGTTCTAACTTCCCCCCGGAGCACCAAAGTAGATCATGCCATAGTTGTGCATCAGATCAAAGTCTCTCCAGGAGATCAGCAAGGGAAGTGTCTGGGGGTGAGGTGGTAATGACAGTCGAGTCATCAACAAAGCCTATGATTGACATAGAAAAGGAGAGATTGCCATCTGGACTGGAGAAGATCATACCATAGGATTTGGTGTTGTGTGGGTCAAACAGTCTGCTTGACAGGAGAGCCCAAATGACAGGACTATTGGCAGAGCCTTGTCTAGTGCCGTGAATTGGAAACCGTGGGCAAAAGTGTAGAGTATCCATTGTAGTGCCAATGAATCTTTCATTTTATACTGAATTTTGTACTTTTTTGGAGCTAAACCTAGTTACACCCCTTGAGAAATATCAGTATGGCATTCTTACTATGCAGAATAATGAGCATTGTAATGTAGTTCTGAGATGGCACCCAGCTCTCTTTTCGTTCTCACAAGCTCAGACAGATGGCCCGATGGAACTATTTTTTAAAAATCTGACGCTGATGGGCTGATACAACAGTACACATCGTTGCTGCTGCTGAGAAAGCAAGTCAATGAACTACTCTAATACGTTTCTGTGATGCAATTTAGACAGCAGTTCTGAGACAAAATAGTCATGCAGTACTATGTGTACATCAATAATGAGTAATGGAGCTTCGCAGGTACAGCGCCCCCCACTCTAAGTGAAAATTTGTTTCTAATTGAAAGAGGTACAAGTAGTGATTGCGCTCATTCAACTAAGTCGCACTGAGTTATTGTAAGCAAAGATGCATTACACTTTTTGACCTCCTAGACCCAGAAGACATTCACGGTCAGATGATGCGAAACCATGTTAAATGCGGTTGCTCCTGCTAGCAGAATTCCAGTCGTTGCGCCTAGCCGCAAMAGCAGTCCATCAGGATCTTCAATCGTATCAATTGCTGAACGGAAGTCATTATTTGTCGATTTTTCAGATAGTTTATCGAGGCTCAACTTCGTGACCGTATTAGAATTAGTTCTTTTGGTTACACCTTCCAAATCAGTTTGCAATGGCTGACCCAGCTCATAGCATGTGTCGTCGCTCGTTTGAATAAATCCTCTCGGGAGAGTCTCTTTCACGTTCTTTAATTGAGAAGTTTCGATGCGACTGCCATCGGACAACCCGTCTAATCCATAGACATAACCACACATACCACCATCAGTGGAAAACTCGTAGTCCTGCAAAAAGGGAAGAACTCCCAGTGCAGTCGTAACACCACCGTCAATAGACTTCGTCGAAGGGAAATGGCCATCATCAGTATTTTCATGTGTTTTACTTTGCTGAGCCATTTSCATTTTCTCATGCCGCGATCGCAAAATTTCGACTGGGTAACCACATAATTCAGGAATATCGTCGCGAAGAGTCCTCCACAGAACAAAAGAAGATAGTTCTACTTTTTTTCGCCCTGTGTTTTCCCTTCTTTTTGAAATGCGGACAGTGTATTTCGGCAAATTGTCACGCAAKGCCCATTCTTGTACTTTCGACCATGGGTAGCCCTCTGTTGACGCGTCGTCACCTTCCAAATGAATCTCTTCATCATCTTTGCGACTATTTGTTCTCAATGAGTTTCCATTAGTGAATATCTCTTCACTGAAAGATGTGCGCAGTGATACTGCAGATCTTTTCATAACATTTGACACGGTGGTGCTAGCCCCAGATGAGTGCCTAGGATGACGAAAGCAGAAGCCAGTGACACCATTGGTCGATATCAACAAAATATGGGCCAAATAATGGTGACGAATCAGTACCCCAATAATCAAAAGTAGGAAGGTTCTCATCATAACAATTTCGAATTGTTTTACAACAAGATTAGAATGAAATAAATGTGGATGCAGGCAAGAATGTACAGTAATAAAATATGAATCAATGGGTTGAACGTACCGTACGGGAAGAGACGACTTCGGGTATTAATATTGTACACCACGGTAGTACTGTAACTGGTACTCTTAACGTGCGATTGATGTCCTACCGTACGGTATTCCATGACAATTTCTCACAACAAATTTGACCAACAAATCATTCGACTACGGTACTTACCGTACCATACAGTACTAGGCACTCACTACGATGATATTAGAAATAAAGATCGGACAGGTGAATAAAGATTTGACAGGGCTGTTCTGGAACTTGAAATCCCGAGAGTGTTCTCAAAAAAAGGAGTGGGCGTAGTGTGTAGTACTCTTAATACGGGACAAAGAACCACAGAGTAATGAGCTACTGGTACGTACATACGGTACCGCACGAACAGCGTCTTCTTCGCATTGATACGGTACCGTCCGTACCGTACTTTCGGGAGGTTCAAATTGTTTCGGTTTTGCGATGGTTGAACGAAGGACAGATGAATTATTGGACAGTACACGTCCTACTGTAGATAATGAATGGTATTGTACTGTTGTACCTGCCATACGTCCGGGATGTCACCATAACACACAGGGGCCAGATTCCAGATTGCAAGCATCAAATCCTTTGTACTACCTGGTACCGTACGTACCGTACAGTATTTTCTTTTCTTCATCCCATTGTACGTACGGTACTGTAAGCTACGGGACTCAGAAACTCGTACTTGCTCTACCGCGGGGGTACGTATTCGACCATAATGGAACTAGGAAATCATGTACAAGTCTAAGTACATGCACTTCGATGACATCCTACTGACCACCACAGTACCAAAATCCATCACTACCGRTACATTGATATAAAAATTGGTAGCAGTATCGTACCGTACTAGCAGTAAGATTGAGTTGAGACAAGAAGTACGTACCGTACCGTACCGTACCTTCTSTTACAGTATGRTAGTACTCGTACTCGGAGTACTTGTACCCGTCATGCTCTGTCAAATAAACAGAAACATGCCTGTGCCAACCGTAGTCGCGCTGCTAATCTTACCGTACAATACACGAAACGAGGCAAAAGAATGCATGGATAGCAATCAGGATTGGAACTCACAAGGACCATCAACCGTAGCTGATAGAAGGACATCAAATCCTAAAAGGGAACAGGAAAATGTCAGACGATGAAGAAGATCTGTTCGCGGACAGTGACGCAAGTGGCGACACTGATGATTTGATCGCCGAGTCACAGAAAAAGCCGATTGCCAAACCAAAAAAAAAGAAAGTCCTCAAAAAGAAAGGCAGCGGAAATAAAAGGAAACGAATTCCAGGTATGCGTTGKTTTTTTGCTAGGGATATTTTGATTTGTCAGATCTATGAAGCTCTGAGCATATACCGGGAAGGGGATGTGAAATCTAACGAACTTGTTTATTTATGTCTTCTCTTACATCGACGCAAAATAGATGCGGATAGAGATAGCGACGGCGATGATGGCCCAGGACTTTTCGATTCAGATTCTGAAGACGACAATAACACAAAAAACCCGGCCGCTCAGGCTGGCAGTGCCAAACCTGCAGCGAAGAAAAAGAAAATATTATCTAAACGGGAACGCATGGAGGCATTGAGGGCGAAAAAACGGCAAGTTGTGAGTTCAGTTCCAGGAAGTCAAAACGAGAATAAAGGTGACGATGATGAGGATAGTTATAATTCGGCTGAATATGTCCGCACAAAGGAAGATTTAGATTTCATTGATACTGAGGGAGACGACGCTGATGCAGTTGCCGAATTGTACGCTGAACAGAATTTTGAAGACGAGCGCGAGGCCATGGAAGATCCAAACGACGGGAAGAAAAAGAAGAAAACCAAGGGAACTGGTTCAAGCACATATCGTGGAAGATCAGAACGGGCTATTCTTGAAGCTGAGGCCGACGAGGATGATCCGATCTTACAGGCGGTAAATAAATTAAAAAAGAAGAAAAAGGTGCAAAAGAAATACAGTGAATTGGAGGAAGAGGCCAAGCCCTTTCTCGCAAACATGGAGAAGGCTGCGGCAGATGACGAGGAGTCTATCTCACAAAAACGTCCTGCGCTGAAGAAACTAATGATGATCGACGAAGTATGCGAAACCTTGGCAAGACGTGACATGCAAAGACCTCTTCTGGACCAGGATTTGCTGGTCACCTGTAGACGTTGGATTCAACCCCTTCCAAATGGACAGTTGGGGAACATCACAGTCCGCCATCGGCTCATCGATGCTGTTGCTTTAATGACAGGAGAAAATGGGATTACTGCCTCGGATTTGAAACGTTCCGACTTTGGCAAAGTTGTGATGTCGTTGTACATGCACAAGAGCGAAACCAAAGCCATGAAGAAGAAACACAGGTCATTGATTGATCAGTGGAGTCGTCCCATCTTCCACAAGTCAGGTAACATGCGTGACCTTGAGCGTGTCCAGCACTCACGTGGTGATGGAGGACTATCTCAGATTTCTAGGGCACACATGATGGAAGAACAATCCCGAGAACGTGCTCTGAAGGCCCCCGTCATGCGTGGGCACCGAGGAGGGAAAGACCAAGATTTGAATTCATTGATTCAGTCTGGAGCCAAAGGGAAGTCTGAATCAGGAATCAACCGAGTCCGTATCCCGTACAGTAGAGGTTTCCAGTATAGCGTGAGACCCGAAAACAGGACCATGGGAGACATAGACAAGCGCAGAGATACAAGTGGACCTTCCCAAGACTCTCGAGGAAAGTTGAGCAAGCGTATGCTTGAGAAGGGTCGAGCGAAGTCTAAGAACCAACGAAGTGCCAATATCAGCATCGAAGGGAGAGGAACCAAATAGTCGAGTAACATAACATTCACTACTGTTAATTGTGAAATACAAATGAAATCAAATACGCTATATATATTTTTTTGTGGGTGGCGTTTTTCTTTTCTTCTCTCATAAAGAAAAACAAGCAGAGCTCGTCATCAGCATTAAAATATATTTATTTCAAGTGCACTACTTGGAGTTTCGTCGTGCCGTATTTCACAAACCAAGCACATTATCAAGTGATATAGCATGGATATGTAAAATTTATTGACACCGTAGATCTTTTTGAATTGTGCTATTCAAAGAAAGGCATCGCGAATGATTTGAAGTCAGCATTTTCCTAGATGGCACCACACTATGCAACATTTTAATTTTAATAATTTACTAAGGTCCACCTATTTTGTTTTGTACAGAGTTTGATCAAAGCATGTTTTCATAAAATTATTTTAAAATTACAAGCCTAAAGAAATGAYTCGTTTCATTCCTGACGAGAGAACGCTCTTCGCGCTCACTCTTGACCTAAAGCATACGTAGGGAATGTGCAAGCATTCGATTGAATAATACCAACAATGATTCCGAAGATTCCAAGAGCGCTCGCGAAAATTTCTACGATCAAAATTTTCACGAAGAGACTTGCATCTTGAGCATCGGCAATCGCGCAAGATGAACCGGCTAGGCCAACGCTAACTCCACTGGCAACATTTGTTAATCCTACACTAAGGCCAGCCGAGAACATTCCATATCCAGCGTAGTAGTAGCCATTGTAATCCCAGCCTTCTTCGAGATAGTATGAAACAGTTTCGGGTTCCTTGATCTTGTTTCCTAAGATGATAGCCATAATTAAACCGTAAATAGCAGTCGCTTCACAGAAGATCACAGATACCAGATTCTTTGATATAATGCGAGGAGCTTTTACAGAAGCTCCAACAACTATTCAAAGAATGCACATGATTTTATGTGTTTCGTCGAGGACCCCAAAAGAGAGAAGAAAATTAATGACACAAGAACGAATGTTCGCAAGGGTGAGGTTTCAGGAGATGAGGCTTAATCCACCATGGCAAATGTAGTGTTCCTACACTAACTGACTTACGACTCGATCCTGTGAGCCAGATTCCCCATGCGGCGCCGATAATAGAAAGTCCTAATCCGAACGCGACACCGAAGTTCGCGAATCCGTAAGGCGACATATGCGTCAGGACTTCCCCCCATCCTGAGTTGCAAAATTCTGACGAACACGTGACAGAGCTCATTGTTATGGTTTAGTTATTATATTTTATCGTAGCACGAACAATCACACTATGAAAGTTCCAAAGTTTCCTTCACTACAGTTCGTAGCAACTTCGCATGAATAACAGGATGCTGGATACGATAGAATCGTGTCTCTCGGTCTTTTCGTACGTTATTGGTTTGAAAGGGTCTCTCAGCTCTTGAAACTACCAAGGATAGTCGTTTTTCGTTGGGGTGACCGGCGCGGCTGACCTCCTCGCTCATTGGCGTTCTTCTACTTTCATTCTTAGCTCACATCATACATAGTTTACCATCGATAGATACGAYGACGTCCAGGTTTTGATTCAGCAATGACTACCGTACTTTACGGTACCCACACGGTACGATACTACCGTATGTACAAGTAGCACATTGCATTGGTCATACTGAATACAAGGTACGTACGGTACTCGCATCGTACCGGTATGGAACTGTAGAAGTTCGAAGTAMTAGTAAGATTTTAGATTCCTGAATTTATGGAGAGTCTTTAATTCGTACTACTGTACCGTACAAAGGTAGGACGGTACGATAGTACCCCGTACGAAGTAAAGTACGAGTACGTACGTGCTGTACTGTACGGAACTTCGTAAGTATTCCATTACTGTACAGAACGTAAGTGCTACAGTAGTTCATTCGCATCATCACCCATTCTTCCCACGCCGGCGCAACGCGCAACGCACCAGCGCCAAAAAATACGTCGTAATAGTCTTGCAAGTCGACGAGAGAGAAAAGCAAATTCAGTGCAAAATGATGCCACACCTACGAGTACTACGGTACGTGTAAGAGAACGTAGCGCTTGGCGTACCCTCGCGTTCGGAGATGTTCAARAACAAGACAAAAACTCCCACGAGGCTTTTCCAGTTTGCAGGGCATCTCTTCTCCAGACGTAGTCATCTGGATACATAGCCACAGTGTAGAACACAACTGAGCTGCCAATTATCACTATAGACGGACCGCAACGTCCCTAATTTATAACCACGATGGGTGCTGACGATGTTGCTCGACAGCACGCGATGGTCGAGTTTCTCGGGACATTTCCCACGCTTTCCGGTTCACCCCCTGAGCAGCTCTCCGATCTGAGTGATGGAGTTGCTTTGTTTGAAGTTCTTTCCGAAATGTGAGTTTTTGGTAATTTATCATTGTTTTAGAATTGCAGAACTTTTGATTCGGTTTGCTTTCTTCTCAGTATATATACTCTAACAGGATGTCTTCAACTGTGTTAACGAAGTGCTCCGAATCACTTCGATCCAACCACGATTGCTCGCCACCTAGGGGATAATTGGGCTCTCAAATCATCGAACCTGCGAAAACTCATTCGTAATTTAGAGTATTACTGCCACGAAGATCTTCAAAAGGATGCAGCAGAATCCTTTCAGAAGATATCATCCAACGTTGGTAAGATATCTCGCACTGGAGATGCGGACGCTATTGAAACCTTAGTCGAACTCGTTGCTGCAGTGGCGGTAACCTGTCCTCAAAAATCTGAAGTTGTCGGTCGAATTATGAGTATGTCCAGCGAGTCACAAATTCAAATGAAAGGAATCATTGAGTCGAGTTTAGAGCTTTTGGAGGATTATGTTATCGAAGAAAACGACGATTTTAATGTCGAAGATGATCCGGAAATGATTTTTTCTGAAGAGGCAGGCGAGTTTGGCGTTCATGAAACTGGGAAGGCCAATCATGAGGCGTCATTATTTCATGCCAATCATCTCAAACAGTCCAGTGATGCTGATCCTGGAGAATTGGAGCAAGCTCTCGCCGAGGCGAAACGTGAGTTGGCAGCACAAAAGTCGGTGATGACTGATATCAGAGAAGATGCTGACAAGGCCCAATCCAAGCTTCGTGCTTTGGTGGAAGATCTTCAGGATCGTCTAGCGAAGCGTCAAGACGAACTCATCACTTCAGAAGAAGAACTAAGAGATGCGACGAATGTTCTTGACGACCTTAAATCTAGAGTTGGTGAGTTGGAAGAAGAGAAAGCGCAGCTGGCTGACGAGCTCGACCTGGCCTCGGCAAAGGCAAATCAATTGCACAAAGCCGAGGCAACAGTCATGGCTTACAAGAAAAAGTTAGAAGGAGTAGGTGTTATGAATCAACAAATGACCGATTTGGAAGATCAGGCTGCTGGGTATCTACGGCAAATTATGGACTTAGAGGGCGAAGTGAAAAAGACTGCCACTTTGCAGAGACAAGTCGACTCCCTCCAAAAGAGATTGGGAGATCTCGAAAAACAAAAAAACGATAGCGTCGATTCTCTGAAAAGTTCTACAACTGAAATTTCTGAACTGAAAGACACACTTGCGGAAGCTGAAAAGGCGAAGAAGTTGTACATGGACGAACTAAAGGAATTGAGAGCTCAACAAGCCGCCGATAGTGAAGATGTTGATATTGTAGGATTTGAAACTCCAGCACAAGTCTCATCAACTGCGCAGAGAGAAAGGACAATGCGTTTGGAAATTGAGAATACGAAGTTGAAGTCAGAAGTAGAAAACTTGAAGAAAGCTTCATCATCTGGGGAGCCAGTCACGACAGTCTCGAATGCGGAGGTCGAAAATTTGCACAATCAAATCAACGCACTGAAAGAACAGCTTGAAAAGAAAARTGCTGAGAATAAGAAAATTGTGAGTGATAAGGATAAACTTGAGGCATACACAAAAAGAACTCTTGCAAAGTTCCAAGACAAGTATTTGGTTGCTCTTCAAGAATGCAAGGCAAAATTAAAAGAAAAGCAAGATAAAATCGAAGTTTTGGAAAGTAGGAGTGCTACGGAGAAAAGTGCCCAAAAGAGAGAGGAGCGTCTTCTGTCYTCTACAATCTTTGAGCTTGGACTTTCTATCATGCAAAACAGATTGAAAGATAGGTAATTATCAATTGTATGACATACCTAAATGAACACGAGTAAATTAGATTCCTAGGACCAGGTCGTTGTGATAAGATGATGCCACTCACTATTAGCAGAATCCATTASACTTACATTCCATCCCGGTCGTACTGACAACAAGAGGTTTCTTTGAAGCTTCAAAAATACACTTTTCGGCTTGTTACTCTTCTCAGCAATACTTATATATGCGTTTGAGTTTTCTCATCTCTTAGTTCCTATTCGTTTGGAGAAGCAGAGAGAAGACCTTCATGAAACTCATTCTTGCCTCTTCACAACCTTCATCTATCATTCGAATCTTCTACTAACTGCAACGAAGAGGAGGCTAACGTACATAGGGTTAGTACTGGGGACAAATTGTGAGTCCCCGGGACTAAACCTACATAAAGGGTTTCATTTTCATACCTACAAACCTAGGCCAAGCTAATGAAGCGGATTGGAAGAAGGTCCTAGTAGTAGTTGCCTTCTGGATGAGAAATGCTCCAGATCAAGATGCCAGTGATAGTGTTACTATTAGCTACCTTCACTCAGATGAGGTTTAAAAGCCTCCAGCCATCTCCTGTCAAGAAGCCCATGCTGACAGGATCATCTCATGCTGTGAACATGCCAGCAACATACTTCACAGAATCAGGAAGRAGTTGGATGAAATGGAGATTAAACTTATAGTGTTCTTTCAGTCCTTTCCATGACAGTGGCACACCGGCTACAACCTCAGTGGCAGGAACATCAAAGAGGATACCATTGAGGAGATAGTTAAGTACATGAATGACCAGAAAGGAGTTGCTGGTGAGGATTCCAATGGTAGGAAGCATCTGTTGGACAACAACAACAACAACAATGAGGATAGAAGAAATGGTAGGAAAAACARCAACAACAAGACCAGCAAAGAAGAAGGGCAGATGCAGCCCCTTGCAGGAAGCATAATGGTGCTCATTCATGGGGCAACTGCCTGGACAACAGAAGAAATAGATTCCGAAACTATGGTAGAGGCCATGATGGTGGAAGAGGCTTTCAAAGAAGATGCTTCGACGGAGGCTATGGAGGCAACCATCACAACCATTGCCAGCCTGATAACACCACTGGCTCCTACTATTATCAACTTACCTCAGATGGAGTATTTGTTCCTGTGGTCCCCACTGCACAAGTATATCATGTTACATCCTGAGCTAGTCCTTGCAGACCACCTAGTCACATCTTAGTACACTCCAGTCTACCAAGTCACCAAGAGGCCAACCCTAAAGGCAGTGATGAGGCCTTCTATTTTCCCCTCAATCAGTACCCCCAACTCAGCATAGTTGACTGTTGGTGGAGTCAGTGTTAGGATCTGAGTGTTTCTTCACACTGCCTCCACTACCTAACAAGAAGCCTCTAGAGCTTCCTGGTGACTTCATGGGCACTACTAACAATGAAGCAATGAGGGAGATTTATCAGAACCTCCCTACTAAGGTCAAGAAGGATGTACCAGTCACAAATCCCAAGTGTGTGGCTCTTCAAAGACTCAACCCAGATAAGTTTCCACCAGTATTCTTGTTGTTAAGAGCATCCAATAGATCCCAGTCTTGCTGCATAGTGGAAGTACTATGTGTTTAATTCTTGAGGGCTGCCTCCCAGCAGGCAAGGTAGCAAGGATGTACACTGCAGTATGACCACTACTACAGCACAGGGCAGTTTTGACACCTCCAGATGTGTTCATATCAAAGATTCACCTGCCTGAATTTGGCAATGGCAGGTGCATGGGGGGATATGCAAGATTATTCAATGCCACTTGCAAACTACAATATGATAATTGGACAAGACTTCCTCAGAATGRCAGGAGTCAATCTCTTTGTCACCAATCAAACCTTTTGGTTGTTAGATAGGTMAAAAAAAATGAGACCCCAGGTCATTTTCATGAACCCCGRAACATAAAAAACGCCATGTGGCTAGCTGAGGATGGTGAACTCCTAGATAGAGGACTCCTGGAGTTCCATCTACCATCCAGTGAGACAGCTGAGACCTTCCTGGCAGAACACAAAGTGTGGTGGTGCTAATATTAWATAGATTCTTCACCCAAGAGCAAGTAGCTGCAAAACAGGAACACATAACTGAACAACAGCGCCAGGCTTTCAGTCAAGTTTTGGCCAAATAGCTTGGGAGATATCCCCATGAAAAGATCTATGTAGATCTGATCCTAGGCGCAAGGCGTGTTTGGAAGAAACCCTAACTGGTTCCCTACAGATACAGGGAGGTGTTCAAGACAGAAGAATGTCAACATCTAGTTGATGAGAGTGTCATAGGGGCACCAAGCATCAACTCTGAATGAGATTCCCTGCATTTATGATCTGTAAAAGCAATGGCAAAATAATAATATATTGTGCCTAGTGGATCTGAGAGAACTGAACAAAATCATTAGAACCCAAGAATGCCAGGAGTAATAAATAGAAGGAACAGAGATGAGAATTTCACCAAAATAGACTTCTTGGTGATGTTCTACTGCTTTGCTTTGAACTTGATKATACCACTTAGCCTGAGAGCTACAAGTTTCCAGTTACCTACAGGAGCAAAATCTTCCCCAAAACATGGTCAGGCCTTCACCACTAAGATCCTCCATGGATTGAATGTAGAATGATSACATTTGTATTCTGCCCTATTTCTCCTTCCTAGACCATATATGACTCTAGAATAAAAAATCCTGGAGCGCTTTGCTCCAAGTGAGAAATTTTCGAGTCTGATTTTTAGGCTGTTGCATATCCCCAGAAGGACTGAAACTGCAGTGGAAAAAGGTGGAAAATTCGGTACTTCTGCAAACTAACCTTTAATTTCACAAAGTCAATATTATCTGCCTTTGCTTATTAAATTCATGTCTTCGGTAAGGATAACGGGACCCAAAAGAAAAAACATCATCTCCAACCATTAAAAACGTCCATTTTCACATGACAGTGAAACAAAATTCTCACATTTCCGAGCCGAGAACCATTTTGTTCTGGATAATGACACTTCATATCACACCACAGACAATTGTTTCACTGGAACTCAATCGTATTGTAAAGCTCCAGTTTTTGAAACTTTTGAATCGACAATGCCAATGCATCGCGTACATCCWTATATCCTCAAGACCTTGATCGCTATCAATATTTGACCCAAAGAATATCGTGCGTCGAACTCCAACACYCTTTAAGATATGAGTAAGAGTGCCTGGCTTGAAACCGAATATCACCTTCAACATGATTTAGAACATTTATTCCCAATTTCCCTCAACAGCTCCAAAAAAATGATATACGTCGTTTCTGTGGTTTTCCGACAGTAGAAGCAATTTCCKTCRAAATACGTTTTTTGTCAGTGATAACGAAGCATGTCTAAAAACRGAAACGATCAGTGGACTGAAAACTGCTTCAAAACCACGATGGTTKTTTTAAGGTTCCTCAAATGGCAACGAAAGATACYATTTCACTTTCTGAAAGAACAAGCATTGTGCTTTGCTTTGAATCCTTTGTTGTTTTTGTTTCAAGTGAGTTTTTCCGTGCTGCGCAATCACTTCAGTCACTTCAGATAGCGGATGATTACGGTTACAGAACCTTTCAGGTGAGAGTTCAAAGTCATCAAGCCGCGAACTCTAACGCTCACCATGCGAGTCGTAGTTAAAATCAAAAATTTGTCCATCACTTTGAAACACTTCACTTCCACATAACTTATMATTCAAGCACAGTKTAATAGCTTCTCCAAMWCCTTCAAAACGAGGCAACACTTTACTTCACCAATAAAAAGGAGTCATTCCTATTCTTTTGGTTCCWATTTCTCAGTTGATGTTGATGTTGATTGCTTCCTGACAATGCGATCCCAACTAGGAGCTTTATCTCGAACATCCATTGCAAACAAAAAATCATGTGTTCTGCCTAACAGCGGTTTGGCTTTSAGTGTGCCTTGTGTTGTCAATCAAACTGAAAAGAAAATAGGGCACCCTCCTCAAATAAGTCCGTTATTCACATGCACTCCGAATGAAGACTTCGCAACAATAGACATTTCAACAATTCGGAAGGTAATGCCGCGATGTGAAATGAATCCGCCATCACCTCATGCTTCTTCACCTCAACAAATTTTCTCATTTGAAAATGATTTCAGTTACCGAGCGGTAAAATTCGATCACATYTAATGCGTKGAAGAACGAAGCAGTATTTGATTTCATTTATCAAACTCAGTCATTCGTCTTGGTGTGGTGTTTCAATTGTCAGACTCTCAACTCTGTGCGTAGRAATTTCCAATACCGCTGTGACACCTGAGACCTTAATCACAACKTTCGGACCTGATGTACCTCGGCATTTCAAAAAAAAAAAAGTGCCGAACTGTACCAATGGTTACTAAAACTGAGGAGAGTAGTATGGGACACGSTTATCTCAAATATTTGTTATTGGCTTTGATTCGGACTTAAAAGGTCTTAATCATCAACATTTTTTCGGGTATTGATGTGAGCTAGTAAAAGTTAAGTRCAACCTCGTAATGTTGTGTTGAGTTGTATATTCTTTTGCTACATGAACTTCCCGAAACGGATTTGTTACTCCAGTGCGCTACTCGCAGCTAGTGCAAAGCAAAGAGCTTTTTGTGATTTTCTAGAAGACACGGAAWGTCTTCTTTCCGGTCTTGCTTCCCTCTTGAATGCGTAAGATAAAATAATTCTGATAGTGCTCCTACTTAATACTTCGCAATGTTGAGCCCATGGTCGGAATATTTTGCTCGAAAGGCTTCCCTTCAACGTAACTAAGATTTGAATCGCGTGTTTCAGASCAACATTCTTGATAATAATAATTAATATTGAATGTGAGAGCGGAAAAAATTAGGGAATGTGAACGTAGGTTAAGCTGAACATCACGATTGCTCCTTTCTAGCCATAASTAATCCGTTCGCAGAAATCTACGTCCTCCATATGCGTGACTGCACGTTGAAGCTGGCTTGAGATCTACTAGACTCGGATGAAAATATTATTTGGCGTTGTGTTTGCTGGTCATGGAGTTGCAACTGCGATCTTCCAAACAGTTCTTCTTTAAGATCACCACCGTCTTACTAAGTCCGCCTGGTTTATTTTGTAGGTTGGAAACCACCAGTTACGGTTCCTTGSTCATTTTTCGTTTGCAGATTTGCACACCGGTTTCAACTGCGGAGTTAGAGAAGTMTACTGTCRTAAAAGCATGAAAACATGACATCTAAAAAAAGGGTTGAATACGKTCTTACATGATGAATTCAAGTATTTTCGTCGATTGAAAGTGCATTCAGCTATTGCTGATACCCAACTTGAAAACCGAACTTCTATTTTCTTCAACCTTTAACGTGAAGTCTTGGCGACAAAAATTGATGGTCATTTATCTGTCAACCTTCGTTTGGCTGAAATTCACTGARCCAAAACAAAGCATCTGGTAAGGTATTGAAGGAACTCAACATAGTAAATTTAATTCTTCAAAACGGGAAGGTGATTTTATATTCATTCCTTAAAAGATCTTGAGTTCCATTTGAGGATGATTTCAATAATTATGCAGTGCATCCTTATCAGAAAATGATTGTGCATGTTGTTTTTGCATATCAAAAAAATTTAATGGTTGCAAAAAGGAAAGCCTGCTTTGGAGATTGATCTTTAGGCCGGTAGTAACAGCTCCMATTTTGAAAATTGGTAACGATTTTTCGACAAAAAAATCACAAATATTCGATGGTTTATGGATCAGTTTTGGAAAAAATGAAGGAACTATCACAAATTACACAAWATGGATTGAATTTAAATTTTTCTTTATTCGATTGACTCAAAAGAAGGCCGAAAAAATCCTGTAGGTTGAAATTAATCGCTTTGTCTTTGCCAAAATGGTGCAACTTTGGCATTAAGAATGAACAAGAAAAGGAAGAAAGTTTTAAGTTTTTCATCACGGAGGATTTGATATATTGGGCACAAGATTAGAAATGAAAGAAGCCCTGAAGGCATGATATAAATATTTTTGTGGACACGACGGGGTTCCAAAAATTAGATTAATCATCCCCCGACCTTGCAAATCGAGAATTGTGATGCTTTCAATGCGTTATTGCAGAGATTTACATRGATTGCAAAACCCATTTGTTTTCGGAGCTGATCCAGAAGAGACGACGTGTAATCAGAAAAAAATGGTTCGAGAAATCAAGTATAATAGTGTTTCGAGGCTCACTGTTCACGATGACAGTTGCTGATTATCTTGTTCGAAATCGAGTTCAAGAAAAGTGAAGTRTAATTAGAATGCGRAGAGGCGTTATGTGTCATTTGAACGGGTAAACAATATTAGSTATCTATCAATGTTGTTCCATAGTTGGCAAACAAGATCTGAAGCACGATGTCTGAGACTGAATGAAAAAATGGACGAATCCAGGGAAAGAACTGATCAYGTTTTCTCCCGCGGTTTAATACGTCAGAGTGAGGTTACATTTTGTTTCATGGTGGATTTCCAGCATGCATGTCAGGCGTTCTCRTGTCGRTTTGAATGGTCACGAAAGGAAAAATTTATTTGCAGGAAGGATAAAGTTTCTTCCATGTTTTTTCCTTTGTTATCTTAGACGTGCTACGTAGAAAAATTTAGAATGAGGTTCTCGAAAGAGAATCAGTCGTGACTTGGAATCAGCAGCCATCATCAACTATAGTCAGACTTGTAAAACATGAGCTGGAAGACGATGCTAGCACCTAAATCATTTTTCTTTTTGGAAAGTAAACGCCGAAATTAATTGACGACTTAAAGAGGTTGCAAAAATGCGGATGAAGCCTCAATCTCCTGCATGATTCCATTATTGAGCTTGCTGTCTTTGTAAGCTACAACAGTCGGAATAGAAAATTCTCGAAGAGCATCTTTGACGCTCATCACGCCCATTGCGGAGCTTCGTCGACCCGAAAAAGGCAATGTATCAGGAGATCGAGCGCATTGACTATTTATGTTGATCTTTCCAAACACTGTTGAAAACCTATCTAACAGTTTTGCAGCACTTTTTGTTTCTTCTTCAGACACGAAAATAGACACTTGCTGACCATACAAGCCTTCTCTGCCATAGGATAAGACTGTGTCTAGATCGTCATATTCTGTGATTGGGACGATTGGACCGAATTGTTCCTCGAGAAAAATATCCATGTCAGGAGTGACCGGAAATAAGACGGCTGGGACCATTAGTGTGGAGTGAGGACCACCAATTATCTCGCCTCCCTTTTTATTGACAATTTTAGCTCCCTTAGAGACAGCATCATCGATCAAGCGTCGCATTAAATCGGTACGACTCTTGTTAGGCAATGGCGTGAAGTCGGAATACCGCGGTTTGCTTTCATTRGGATCATCTCCCCATGATTGCCAAGGGAGGCCGACATTCATTTTCTCGATCCGTTCCGCCATTTTCCTGCTAAACGAAGCCCCAAAGCCCTTAGGAATGAAGAAAAGCTTCAGCGAAGTACATCGTTGTCCATTGAAGCTCAAAGCTAAACAAGACAAGTATAAACTTAGTACATAGGTCCTCTCCTGAAAATAAGCAAGTAAATCCGCTTTCGGGTTGTATCGTACCTCCAAGAAGAGATTGATCCACAGCTCTGGACAACTCTTCAGCTTTGCTCATTCCTTTTTCGAACATGTCGGGTAAGAAAATTCCCATATTCTTCGCTTCAAGCTGCAAAAATATCTTAAGCCGATGGGGATGGGGATGTTGACGAATCACAGTATCAGCAGCTCCTGAGCCACCGATGAAGGCTAAGGYGTCGATTTTTCCTGTTTCCATCAACACAGGCATTGTATCTCGCCCTCGACCCGATACAAAATTCATAGCTCCAACTGGTAACGCCTTCTGGAAAGCCTCCATCGTCTTCCGAAATGCAGGTAAAAATTAACGTTAGAATGGATATGCTGAGTCGATGATGACGTTTCGCGCTGACAAATCAATATGAGTCAAAGAAACAGGAACTGAAACAAAACCTCAACTCACCAACGAGTGAACTAGGCCACCTATTATTGATTGGGTTGAGCACAAAAGAAGGCAAGCATAGGGTGAGCTCTTTTGAAAATGATAGGGGGGATTCCCGGAGGGTTCAAAGATCTCAGAGGTTTTCTTACCGACGGTTGGAACTTTCATGACGACAACTACAGAAAATGTGGAGAAATACAGAGTCGTTGGTGAGTATCGATAGACTAAGGTGATCATTTGACACTTGACACGACTTGCTTACCATTCCCCATCAACAAAGCGGGGATCAGGGTGGCATAAGTCTCGTTCAATGGATAGTTCATCGGTCCAAGGCATCTTCGACGGTAGTGGTGCATAAAGATTGGGTTGGTGTATTTAGAGAGAAGTTTGGATGTAAGTCTGCAGTCCGTGGATCTAATAGAGTATAAATAATGGGATATACTTACAGCACGATTCCGATTGCAGCTCTTCTCACAAAAGCCATGGTAGATCCTACACTTTCCCAAGAGCCACCAAATTCGTCATCGTTTTTCAGAGCTTGCATAACCTCTCGTGCAAAAGATATTGTTCGGTCAAATTCAGACTCGGCATCCTTTCGATTTTTACCTATTTCCCACATCAGAACTTGAACCATTTTTTCGCGCTGATTTGTCTCTAAGTCTTGCATCAATCTTTCCATGGCATCAATCCTTTCTCGAAGCGTCATTTGTGGCCAAGCACCGCTGCCTCCATCCCAAGCTTTTTCGGCGTCGCCCAGTACGGAGAGAGTTTGTTCTTTTGACATCTGGGCCAGCTTACCAATGATTGGGCGAGCGAGTGTCGATGTTCCACCTTCATTATTGTCGTCGGAAAGTGTTTCGGTACAGCATCCGCGAATGTCGACAACGGCCATCGTACTCTTGTCGTCCGCATCAATCTTGGTGGTAATCTCCCCATGTATCATAAGCTTCGGATTCACAAACGGAGGGCTACAATCTGCTGTGCAAAACGCATCTTCGGCATTACTTTGAGGTGCAGAGGATAAAATCGCCAATGCAGAAACACAAAGGGTCGAAAATTTCATTGTTTTCCCTTCTATTATTTTCTATTTTTCTTTATGAAATGGAGGTTGGTAAGAAAACGTGAACGTACAAACAAGCTCTGAGGTGAAATCGTCCTCTCAAAAGTGATTGTGATGGCACGGAAACAAAAATTACCTTTCACAGTACGTAGTTCGTCTCAGGGGCTAGAGGGTTGCACGCWAGTGTGTTTTGCAGAGCGACTAAATAGACCCTTGGGACGTTACGAAACGACACATTTCTGGATACTCTTAGCTACTGGAGCCACGACTAGTCTGACTAAGTAAAAAAGCAGTAATGGTTTCCACGTGGAACAGTACCCTTTCGGGTCCGAAATACGACGTGACAGCTTTTTAACAGTAGGGATTTTACAGAGCTCTACGCATGGAACAATAGTCTTAATTCCGACCAGCATGGGCAAGCTGTCACTTAGTTCCACGTAGAACCAAAAAGGAACTATTTTATACCATACAGAGGATGCTGAAACTATGGAGATACGGAGGATGCTGAAACTACAGTGGGAGGACACTGCTGCTACTGCTAGTACTACCACGGAGGATGCTGATATGGACGCTGATATGGAGGACGCTCGCTGATATGATACGGATGAGCTGATACGATACGGAGGCTCGCTGATACGATTACAGGGGACACTCRCTGATACRATATGGAGGCTCGCTGAGCTGCTGAGCCGGAGGCTCGCTGATACAATTTTTCGTCAATTTCGCTACTGGTAGTTACAGCGCTGTTCCTCCAAAACCACTGGGTCGATTGATCCACAACTTCCGGATCCTTTCCCCCTTAATGTAAGGATTAGCACAGTTGTCTTGTGAGCGCAATTGGTTGGATATTGATGAAGAACTAAAGAGGTGACAGCTTGCTATGCTGGAGGTTGTGTTAATTTTTTTCTAAAAATTTTTGGTGAGCAGAGAAATCAAGAAGCCCAAAAAGGTTTTCGAAAAAAAACACMCAGCAATGTGCACATCTATGTGAAGAGAAAAGAAAACCCTTTCCGACTGATGGATTCTCTAATTCTGATTGGTTCTTTTGCGATTTTTAACAAGCAAGCAAAGTTAGCAAAAAACTGGCAYGTTTTGTGTACTCATAACCTGCTAGGAATCAATAGTCTTAATTCGAACCCATATAAGTACTGTTACAGTATGGTTGATTTTTACAAAGTGTTTGCACATTGATAGCGAAGAGGGGTTCCCGGGAAACAGTTTCGACAATTGGTTGCTGCCGCCTTCATTATTTTTTGGAGGACAGCKGTGGCCAAAAAAACTTACTACGGTGCAAAAACTAAGTTATTGCTAGAATGATTTGCTGTCACAATACAGTAAATGGTATACCAGGGTTTGTACAAATCCACACTAAAAAAAGTTTCTTTTTGTTTCCTCGGAAAGTCCAGGGATGTTCAGCATCGACGATTTTACCACGCCAGCCATAAGTTGGGGAAGGGGGTTGAGAGAAATCAAATATTAAGAATTCTTTTATGGTACTACTAGTAGGAAAGATATCCTACCAGAAGTGGACAAAAAATGCTACCAGATTGCAACAAAAAATGTTACCATATGGTAGAATTTTTAGTTGCAATCTGGTAGCATTTTTTGTCCATTTCTGGTAGGATATCTTTCCTACCATATGGTACAATTTTTAATTGAAATTCCTTTCATGGGACCACTCTCGTTGGGAAACAGTACTGATAAGAGTGCTGCTACTACGCACTACTACGTAGCAGCTGTACGTAGAGAACAAGGCCCCCAAGCAAAATCATCATAAAATAGTGTTTGCTWGTCAACCATGGTATTTTCCCTCATTTTATGCACTTCTAATCCTTCAAACAACATTGTATAATCAACACCATGAGTCTCATTACACTAGTAGTGGTTGACTCATTGGTTGTTTCTTGGTCAAAATCCATGGACTAGAACCTTATTTTCCTCGTGATTAGTAGTACTGCTCGTTGGACTCATCTGTTGTGTCCCACTGTYGCCATGGTGCTAACAAAAGAAGACTTTGACGTACTAGTAGCAAAGGAAGTTCTTTGTTGGCCAGAGCGTAGGATATGGAACAATGAGAAAGAGATGAGATTCAAATCGTGCTTTGGAGCTTCAGCTGAACAATTAGCAGACTTGTGGAAAAGAATTGTTGCTCACCAYGGACCAGTTGTTGTGGGGGGAAAGGCCAAGCATTTCCTCTGGGCGCTTGTTTTCCTCAAGGTCTATTCTACTGTTGAGCTTCACTGCTCTATTGTTGGATGGCCTTCTCCAAAGACCTTTCGTAAGTGGTCTTGGTACTTTGTTGAGAGGATTGAAGAGCTTAAGAATGACCTGATTAGTCTTGACAATAGATTTGATGGTTATAGTAGAGGGACAACAATTCTGATTGCTTCATAAGTGTGGATGGAACAGACTGCCCTGTATTTGAGCCTCATCCATGGTCAAAAGAGATCTATTCCCACAAGTTCAATGGACCAGCCCTCAAGTATGAAGTCCACATTTGCTTGAAGACTGGATGGATTGTCTGGGTGAATGGTCCTTTTGTTGGAAGTACTAACAATACAACAATATTCATTAAAGGATTAGGAACTCAAGTACACGCTGAAGAAGCTGTAGAGGCTGACAGTGGATACACCATAGATCCTAGACTCAAGGGTCCTGAGATGGGACTGACCAGTGAAAAAAGGAACACAAAATCAAATGCCAGGGCCCAGCAGGAAGCTATCAATGCAGATTGAAACAATTCAATGTGCTTACTGCTTGTTTTAGACACATGAAACCAAACAAGGCAACAATGATGTAACAGCACCACAAGCTGTGTTTCCACCCTGTTTCTGTTATTACACAGCAGCTCAAAATCCAATCAGGGGCTCATGTTTTTGCAGATGGATTACATTACAATGTAAATTATTTCTAGTAGTTGCCAGCATCACTGTTCTGCTGGTGACAAGTGCAACAGTAGGCAAAATCAACAACAACAGCACAGCATTKGTCTCCAGCAAGTGAGCTGGATTCATGGGGTAGTTGTAATAGACTGGAGCAATCCCCTGGAGTGTGGCTTGCTGGCAAGTCAAGTCCTTCTGGGCCTATCAAAATCATACTAGAGAGGCTTGGATTCCAGTCCCTCCACACAGGAACTACAGTTGAGACATACATAAGGGGGATGCATCCAACACGAGATCCGTCCACTACAGCAAGACCAACAAGGAAGCTTTTTGGGCCTTCAACGCRAAGCTCACTTCAGGCAGAGTCAGAGCAGCCTGTAGAAATCTCACCAACAGAGAGGGGGTGGCCTCCTCCACCCCACTGACAAGTGCACCAAGACGGGAAGGCCTGAGCTGGAAGTCCTGAGATCCAAGCACCCACCTCTCTGCAATCCCACACAGCTGGGATCAGCAGATGGCGTCTTTGAGCCCTACCCCACACTCTCAAAGGCCATGCCGATGTGCATTACCTAGGACATTGTCGAGACTGTGGCCTCTAAATTGTCTGGAGCGGCAGGTCCGGGCGGCACAGATGGCAAGGAATTGAAATCATGGCTCCTACGGTATGGCCAAAGCTCACAGAATCTGAGGGAGGCATTTGCTCTCCTGACCACTTGGCTCGCAAATGACCATCCCCCATGSGCTGCCTACAGAGCTTTTATGGCCTGCAGGCTGGTGGCCCTCGATAAACAACCGGGCATACGACCAGTGGGAATTGGGGAAATCTACTGCCACCTAATGGCAAAGTGTGTGCTACACGTGGCAGGTCCACTGGCCACTGAACAATGTGGAAATTTCAACCTGTGTCCAGGCGTCAGAGCCGGTGTTGAAGGCACAGCCCAAGCCATCCAGGARGCCCACACTTGGGCGACAGCCAGACAGTCCCACCGACCGAGCCAGCCAGCAGAACAGACGGCCAGACCACCAGCCTCTGGAGCTCCCGCCATCACCRGTACTCCCCAGCCACAGCAGCACCCCTTGGATCCAGAGGACCCAGAGGACACACTACTAGTGGACATTCGCAATGGCTTCAATGAAATCAGTCCCAAGGCTTTGTTTTGGACTGTTCGACACCTCTGGCCRACAGGTGCACAATTTTGCTTTAATTGCTACTGCCACTCCGCTCAGCTGATTCTCAGAGGCAGATCATCACAGGATCCTAGCACTATTCTTCTTTCAAAAGATGGTGTTACACAGGGGGATCCTCTGTCGATAATTCTGTATGGCCTGGCTTTGGTTCCACTCTCTAAAATGCTCAGAGTTCAGTTCCYGGACGTGGTCCTCCCCTTTTATGCCGATGATGCCGCCCTACACGGCTGCGTCTCTGAAATTGCCTGCACCRTGGAACTCAGATTTGGCCTCACCCCTAAGCACCTCCCGGCCAGATGCGACAGCTGCAGTGCTGACTTTACAGTGGAACACGCCATGACCTGCCCCAAGGGCGGATTCATTGKCTAACGGCACAATGACATCGCCGGCAAATTGCACCAACTGTGTGCAGAGGCTTGGATCCCAAGCTGTGTGACTGATGAACCCAGAATACCCAACTATCAGCCCACATCTCAGAAGAAGAAGAGCCAACGCAACACCAAACCCCCCCCAAAAGACCTTAGAGGAGATCTTTCCATGTACAACTTCTGGAAGAGAGGCACATCCGCAGTGTTTGATGTCAGAATCACTGATACCGATGCTGATTCCTACAAAAAGACTGCTCCCTGGCAGGTGCTCAAACAGCATGAAAGAAGAGAAGAAGAAAAAGTACTTGGATCTGTGCCATGCAGCCCATTGCCACTTCACTCCCCTGGTCTACTCCATTGATGGTATGGAAGGCAAAGAAGCAATTGCAGCACGCAAACAGCTTGGTGCCAAACTTGCTGCCAAATGCGGGAGGCAGTACTCTCAGGTGTGCAGCCTAGTTAAATCAAGAATTGGATTTGCTTTAGCCAGAGCTGCAAGCAGATGCTTGAGGGGCACTCACGATGCCAGATTGAAATTCAATCAGCCCCTGGATTGGATTTCTTACTCTGGCGTTCAAGTGTATGCATATTAGTCCAGTCAGATATCATCGTGTCTAGTTTTTTATTAGCAATTTGGGAGTGGTTTCCCACTGAGCTAGAGTGCTTGGAAATTGCTCTGACGGAGCTTGGAAATGTCGGACGGAAGCTCTGACGGAGCTCGGAAA